GAGATTAGCTTGCAAGTGCCAGTGCTGCTCGAAGTTTGCGGTGAGTAGAAACTGAGCTTGAATGCTGCGTGATTGTCGCCAGTGCTGCTCGAAGTCTGCGGTGAGTCGAGACTGAGCTTGAATGCTGCGCGATGAGGCAGTGTAGGTGCGTGCCGTAGGGCCAGGAAGCGCGGTGAGTCGGCTGCGATGGTCCTGTTGAGGCTGCGATGCTGGCTTGCTGTGGGACGACTGTCGATGACTTGCTTTTATCTGCGAGAATGCGGGGATTGTGGTAGCCGAAGTTCTTGATGCGCTGATGATGAATCAGAAGGTTGCGTGTTCACATCACGTCGGGGTCACCAGTTTGGGGAGATGTACGACAAAGGGAAGATCTTCCACCGAGCGGATGATATTGCTCGGTAGACCGACGGTCCGAATGTTGTTGTTCGGAACTTGTATATATGCGCTTTATCTTGAAAATGTCGTAAGCGAGATTCAGGCATCTGTCAATTATCTTGCGTTGTATGATGGCTACCCGCCACATCACTCCCCTCCGAGACTGGAGGTCGTGTCATTTTTAGTTAGCGTTGTCCGTGCTGAGATTAGCTTGCAAGGGCCAGTGCTGCTCGAAGCCTGCGGTGAGTCGAGGCTGAGCTTGAATGCTGCGTGCGTGTCGCCAGTGCTGCTCGAAGTCTGCGGTGAGTCGAGACTGAGCTTGAATGCTGCGCGATGAGGCAGTGTAGGTGCGTGCCGTAGGGCCAGGAAGCGCGGTGAGTCGGCTGCGATGGTCCTGTTGAGGCTGCGATGCTGGCTTGCTGTGGGACGACTGTCGATGACTTGCTTTTATCTGCGAGAATGCGGGGATTGTGGTAGTCGAAGTTCTTGATGCGCTGATGATGAATCAGAAGGTTGCGTTGTATGATGGCTACCCGCCACAATAATGTATCAATCGCCGCAGTCTTTTAGGGCAACCACCGAAGTACCTACATACAATCTTCGTAATTAGTTTAAATAAATACCTACCGTCATCATGTTTCGACTCGCTCACAACACAAAACTTTTTAACACCGAACATAAAACGTTTATGAAAATATCATCTATATATTAATACGTGAAGCAAAAACTTTGTATCCCTTTTTACGAAAATTGCGTGGACGGAGGAGTATGAAATTTTCCACACTTATAGAGAATATATAGAGAAATAGTGCACAATGCTAATATTTTTTTAAAGTAATGCATAAAAAATACATTAAATCAATAAAGAAAACATTACACACACTTCCATTGATTTGACACACACACATATATACTCTTTGTTTATTGTCAAACTGTTGTTATTGCTTAAAGTATGCAGTCAAATTGAGAATAGGTTAGTATTGTATATCTTTAATATTACGAGTATTTGTCTATAGTGTAGCCTTGGCAAAATCTGTAACAATAGGACCATAATAATGTTGAAACTTATAATTTCAATTAATTATAGTCGAATTTCAACTACTGCGGAATCCGTAGTCTTTAATAATTATGTATTTAAGCAAATATAAATAGACATATCAACGCTCGCACACGCGATACGATAAGCGTGTATTTAAAAAAAAAAAATGCAACACTTTTATTTATGCAACACAGCTGGCAACATCGACGCTAACATTTTTTTTAGTGATTGACTTTTTGGCGGGAAGTCAAACAAGGCGCGCTTTTTTAATTTCGTAATTGAATTTAAATTATTTTCATCTGATATCTAAGTTAATAACTTTAAGTTTTGACGCTCTGCGTCCCATTTAATAAAATGGGACAGCATAGTGACGGGGAAGAGCATTCAGACAAAAAGAAAAGAAAATACGCTAACACCAAAGATGTAAGTAATAGTTTTGNAAAAAAAAAAAAAAAAAAAAACATTTTTTTAGTCAAAAGGAAATCGCCGGTGTTTGCATTACAACCGCCTACGTTTTGGGCGAGGTAGGGGGGAGCATGTTGCTGTTTTCTTAGCCTCGGATGAGTCAGAACTCAGCTGAGTCTGGGGGGAAAATGACGCGTCTCGTGTAGAGCTAATCACCCCTCGCAACCGTATCTAGACGGGACGATAACCCGGCGTCCGTCGACGTTAAAATCAATCGATCCCCTCTGATACCAGCTGAAACTGTGATACTTTAAGACAAATATTTTTTTGTATGGAAACTAGCGACATCTTGTAGCGGATGCCCCTAAGCTTATATGTTATTAAAGTTAAGGCATTTAGTTATGGTATAACGAAACACAGAAAAATAATAATTAATAAATCATACAAGTCTTTATTTGTTATAGACACATAGATTAAGTTTTATCGATTTGTAGTTTCTGAAGATTTACAAAATCCTTCATTAAAAATAAAATATAGTACAGTACCGTTGTATGTAAAATTGGGACTTAAAAATCATGTTTCAAGATGAGTGGTAGCATTTACCGTATTGATGTTTAAGCGCTCCGGTAACAACTTAACATCAGGCGCGCTATGAGCTAGTAAAATCGTCTAAGATATATAATAAAAACCAACGACCACGAAACCACTAAGAAATTATTCATGATACAATAAACAAATTCTTTTTTTTAAGCTATTGCATAGCTTTTATCGCGGGATTTAAGCGCTGCGACCGAATCAAGAAATTCCGTAACGAAAAAAAACCTAACACTCTCACTCCACCTACCATGTAGCTCGCGTTCAACACATTCACACGTTGCGCTTGTGTAGTGTTTGTGAATAAGTGCGCGGCGTGACGTCGCACTGCATGCGCACCATGAAAAGTCTGCCCATCTCTCTCTCGCGCTGTCTAGCTTATGAGTGTGAATGGGACAGTTAATGTTTTGCTTTTGTTAATGTTTATAAATAAAGCATGGTCTTATTTTATTATTGTTTCAATATTAAATTATTATTGTTTAATTATAATTGCATAAGTTAATAAAAAATGCTACGCTTTACCGCGGCAGTCCCCCGGGTACAATTTTTTTTCCTATCTGAGCTGATGGTCTAGAGAGACCATATCAGCGTAACCTTAACTAGTAGGTGTGCTCACGGGGCTCAAACCTGACTACGATGCTAACACGAACCCTAGCAAGAGCAGTGCTTCGCAGAATCTACCACCGGATCTGAAACGCGACCCAATGAGAAGAACCGGCGAGAAACTCATTGGGCTAAACAAATTCGAAATACATTTTAGTTTTTATATATCTTTTCATCATAATAATGCTGCCATGAACACATACCTCTTCATAACTAAGACGCTAGAAAAAATATATACTAATCCGTAACATTAATCACTTTCAATGAGCAATTTGAGGATGAATTATCTTTTTAGAAATTGCACAAACAAAATTCAAAGTGTACCTTGAAATAATATAAAACTGTTATTGCATTATCTTACTGTAGATCACTATGATGTAGTGTTATTAATTAATATTTACGCAATCCATAGAGAAATTTCAAATTGTTTTCATCAAATACCGAATATATTTTATGCGTGTTTTTTGTTTTTTTGTTTTTCTATTTTTATGTTTGAAAGATTACTGGTGGCCCGGAGGCCTTTCCAGTTTTACCAGGGCAGGTGGGCGAGCAAGGGCTCAGCCAGGAGGGGCGGGATTTGCCAACAGCTACCCGAGCGCCTCCAAAGGAGACCTAACAACTCAAGAGTAGATGCTTCGCGAATGACTGTCTCTATTGTCTCTATTTTGAAGTCGTCGTGGCCTAAAGGATAAGACGTCCGGTGCATTCGTATCGAGCGATGCACTGCTGTTCGAATCTCGCTGGCGGGTACCAATTTTTCTAATGAAATACGTACGAGACTCAACAAATGTTCACGATTGACTTCCACGGTGAAGGAATAACATCGTGCAATAAAAATGAAACCCGCAAAATTATAATTTGCGTAATTACTGGTGGTAGGACCTCTTGTGAGTCCGCACGGGTAGGTACCACCGCCCCGCCTATTTCTGCCGTGAAGCAGTAATGCGTTTCGGTTTGAAGGGTGGGGCAGCCGTTGTGACTATACTGAGACCTTAGAACTATATCTCAAGGTGTGTGGCGCATTTACGTTGTAGATNAATAAAAATGAAACCCGCAAAATTATAATTTGCGTAATTACTGGTGGTAGGACCTCTTGTGAGTCCGCACGGGTAGGTACCACCGCCCCGCCTATTTCTGCCGTGAAGCAGTAATGCGTTTCGGTTTGAAGGGTGGGGCAGCCGTTGTGACTATACTGAGACCTTAGAACTATATCTCAAGGTGTGTGGCGCATTTACGTAGTAGATGTCTATGGGCTCCAGTAACCACTTAACACCAGGTGGGCTGTGAGCTCGTCCACACATCTAAGCAATAAAAATAAATAAAAAAAACTGCCAGTGGCTTCGACGAGATATTCGGGTTGAGGACGAGCTCACGGGCTCAATCTGAGAGAGTTTGCTAACACTGGCCCTAGCAAGATCAGTGCTTCGCTGAATCTACCACCGGATCGGAATCGCGACCCACAGAGGAGAACCGGCGAGAAACTCAGTGGGTGCTATATCAACATACCTGATACGTCGTGCATAATCTCCCATAATATCCACTTTTTTCTCTACCTAACCGTTGGTAGCTTAAGAGGGTATTCCAACTTCATGCAGGTGAGCTCACGGGCTCAACCTGAGAGAGTTACTAACACTGGCTCTAGCAAGAGCCGTGCTTCGCTGAATCTATCACCCGATCGGAAACGCGACCCACTGAGAAGATCCGGCGAAAAACTCAGTGGGCTGTGTCTATGAGCTAGATCGCACGTCGAGTTCGACAAGGACGGTGACCGGTGCTTGAAGAGCCTCAAACCACCGAGAGTGAATCCGGGGAATCCAACAAGAAATGTTCCCGGCGACAGCGGCGTTGCGTTACCCCGTCGCGGTCGGTTATGTTATGAGTGGCGGCCACGATAAAAGGGTTTTCGTGTCGCGCCGCTTTATCGGAGTAGCGTTTTGACGCTTCCTTAATATACTTACAATTAAATAGATTATTTCTGTTGCAGATGACCGACGGTGCGGCATTATTGTTCGCGGACGAACTCAAACAAACACTCGAGAAGTATCTATTTGGGATCTGTCCACAGACTTACAAGGTAATTTTTTTGCTTTCTTTTTTAATCAATCGTAATTATATTTTTTTTTTCTATAATTAAATTAATATTTTGTTAGCAAGTATTACTTATAATCTATGTTAGTAGCTTAAAAACCTAGCACATAACTATTTGACTATTTATTACAATTCCAAGTGCATACTGCAAAGACTATTAATTAGCAGTCGATTATGATATGAATATTTGGAGGAGGCTTATGTCTATAATAGACAAAAAGACAAAAATATTAAATATTTTAATTTTTATTGATTAGGTGGGTGGACGAGCTCCCGGCCCACCTGGTGTTACTGGAGCCTATAGACATCTGCAACGTAAATGCGCCACCCACCTTGAGATATGAGTTCTAAGGTCTCAGTATATGTAGTTACAACAGCTGCCCCACCCTTCAAACCGAAACGCATTACTGCTTCACGGCTGAAACAAGCAGGGTGGTGGTACCCAACCGCGCGAATTCACAAGAGGTCCTACCACCAAATTATAATTTTGCGGGTTTGATTTTTACCACACGATGTTAAGTATTCCTTCACCTTGAAAATCAATCGTGAACAATTGTTGAGTACGTATTTTATTACAAAAATTGCTTCCCACTTGCGGGATTCGAAACTTTTTCATCACTAGATACGAATGCACCGGACGTCTAATCCATTAGGCCACGACTTCATAGTATATCTTGAAATCTTGATAGACCACTCTAGATATTGCTAATAGTACATCGCAGCATACCTGATGCATCTTTTCCAGAATTTCTGTAGATAAAACGGTTGTCTGACTAATAAGACCACCTATTGTACAATTCTACCTCCCATGCATCAGCCCGCTGAGTCTCTCGCCGGATCTTCCCAGCGGCTCGCGATTCCGATCCGGTAGTAGATTCAATCGCGAAGCAGCTGCTCTTGAGTTGTTAGGCCTCCTTCGGAAGCGCTCGGGTAACTGTTAGCAAATCCCACCCGTCCTGGTGAAACTGGAAAGGCCTCCGGGCCATCAGTAATCCTTCAATCATAAAAAAAAACAATTCTACCTGCCCGTTGACTGTGTTATGAGAGGATTACAAAAACCTTCGCTATTACCGACGTATAGGGCTATGATTACATTTCGTTCTGCAACAGGATTCTCTTGACCGGATGTTGTTTCATAACAATTACTAAACTTCGAAAACATTATCGCTCGCAAGAGAACAGAAAGCCTTGAAATTATTTATTTCCACAGAAACAAAAGGCACTTCTCCCTTTGATGCTAAAAACGTGTTTCCGGCATGAAGCTAAACCAATCGATTTTCACTTGTTTTGTTTTAAATCTCCCACGTCTTTTAATGCGCTTTTAATAACTCACTAGTGGTCCCGGAGTAGTCGAAATTCGACTATAATTAATTGAAATTATAAATTTGAATATTATTATGGTTCTATTCTCAAAGACTTAAACCTATTTATTCATATATTTTGCCAAGAATACACTATAGACAAATAATATTAAAGACAAACAATACATACTTATCTATTCTCAATTTTACCACAGACTTTAAATAATAAAAGTTTGACAATAAACAAAGTATAAAAATATATGCGTGTGAGTGTTAAATAAATGGTAGTGTGTGTAATGTTTTTTTTATTGATTTACAGTGTTTTTATGCATAATAAAAAAAAAAAATTACATTCTACACTCCTTCTCTATATTCTCTATACCTAAGTGTGGTAAATTTCATACTCCTCCGTCTGCGCAATTTACGTAAAAAGGGATACAAAGTTTTAATGCTTCACGTATTAATATATAGATTCCGTATCGATATGTCTGTGTAACGGAATATTTGAACATCAAAACGGAAATAAACTTAATACGTAGAGATTTATAACGAAGATATAGAAGTGAGATGAATAGAGAGTAAAAATTTGCGGTAGGCAGCGGCTTGTCTCCGCCTCTGTTATTGCAAGCCTTCATAAGCGACGATGACCACTGGCCATTAGGTGGGTCGGAAGTTCGTTTCTGCGTCTCCCTCTCTCTCTCTCTCTCTTCCTCTTCTGTCTCTCCGTCCCTCTCTCTCTCTCTCTCTCTCTCTCTCTTCCTCTTCTGTCTCTCCGTCCCTCTCTCTCTCTCTCTCTCTCTCTTCCTCTTCTGTCTCTCCGTCCCTCTCTCTCTCTCTCTAAGCCGCCTGGCCCTTCGATTCGAAACGCATTACTGCTTCACAGCAGAAGCAGGCAGGGCGATGGTACCCGTGCGGACTCACAAGACCTCCCACCACCAGTCAGTAATTTCGGATTTAAGGCTTGCGTACAGGAAAAGTCTGTCGAATTCCCACCACAAGAGCAAGAAGCATCGTCACCCATCTATCTTTCTCTCTCGCTCTCACACGTAACCGTTCGTATAATCTGTGAACAGTCTCGTTGGTTACAGATGTCCGCCGCCAAGGGCAAGAATGCAACGATGCCCGCCTGCGACCTGGACGATGAGCAGCAAGACCTGGCTGGAAGGTAAACAGTGGACAATCTCATGTGTTCCACCTCATTCTCAATCTCTTCTTCACCGACCTCGAAAAGAACGTTTTACTGGCGGTAGGACCTCTTGTGAGTCCGCGCGTGTACGTACCACCACCCTGCCTATTTCTGCCGTGAAGCAGTAATGCGTTTCGGTTTAGCGTCCCTTTCTCTCACGCATACGGCAGTGGTATTAAAAACGTATGTAGCTCTTAACTATTTATATATCTTTTTAAATTTACGTTACAATTTTCCTTACATTATCATATTAATACACATAAAATTTAATTAACAACCTAAGCTTTTCTCAAATTAAACAATTTCAATATATTAGAGGTGCAGGAGCCCGTAGACAACTTCAACGTAAATGCGGCTACCCACCTTGAGATATAAGTTCTAAGGTCTCATTATAGTTACAACGGCTGCCTGACCCCTCAAACCGAAATGCATTACTGCTTCACGGCAGAAATAGGCAGGGTGGTGGTACCTACCCGTGCAGATTCACAATAGGTCCTACCACCAGTAAGGTCTCAGTATAGTTACAATGGCTTGGTTGGTATACGAAATTTTACCAAACCCTTATTCCGCAGATTCGCTACGCTAGCTCTCCGCGCTCACACAGCCTCCAGGTCAGACTGCTCGAGGCTTGCCACGTCCCTGGTGAATGTCCTCGGTGATTTAGCGCGCACGGCATCAAGCAGACAAGTCCTGGCAGCCGGTGAGTTGAGGGAGATATTGCTGCAAGCGAATCTTACTGGTGGTGCGATGACCTTCGAACGGTGGTAGGGAAGATATGAGGAGAGCCGAGATTCGGGCTCCGTGGTGTGGATTGGGAAAGGTCTATGTCCAGCAGTGGACGACTTTGGGCTAATGATGATGACGATGACTACAACTACGACTACGACTACGACTATGACTATGACTACGACGATGACGATCACGAGGCATCTTAATTCTGTCACTACACAGTTTGCGTTCCAGCTTGAAGGTTGGATAGGTATTAGTATAATCGCAGCGGGAGGTGGCTCTCACTAAGCATCTTCACAGCGAAATAGCTCCACAAATAGCTTCAGCTAGTGCTGAAAAAGAAAACTATGTCCCTTTCGTTGACGCGGACCGATCATCTTACATGATTGTAGGAGTTCGTCACAACACTCAGAGAGTTTTAACTATGAATGTGAAAGACTTTAAAGGAAGAGGTAGACTTAAGAAGAAATGGATGGATAGCGTGAAAGACGATATGTGTAAGAGGGGGAAGGGGGAGTGAGCGAAGAAATTGTATATAATAAAGGAGTATGGAAGGAGAAAACATGTTGCGCCGACCCCAGGTGACTGGGAGAAGGGCGGGAGAATGATGATGATAAATTTTTTTTTGGTTGCTTGGGATGGTGAACGAACTCACAGCCCACCTGCTGTTAAGCGGTTACCCGAGTCCATAGACATCTACAACGTAAATGCCGCCACCCACCTTGAGATATGGGTTCTAAGGGTCTCAGTTACGTAGTTATGTAGGAGTTCTACACCGATAACTATATACTATAAATTGTATACAGTATGTATTCGCAAAGCTATGGCATCTTAATCTACCCCAGTGCTGAGGGGTCGAGAAAGATCCATCACTCACTGGTGGAAATATCATTGGGGGCGTATTTCGACCCGCCGCCGCGCCAGAAGAAGGTTTATGATTGTAGTTGCCGCTGCCAAGGTCGTAACTATTTCTATGAGCTTCGGTAACAGCTGGACCTATTCTTTTCACTTGTCCTTTTCACGATTCTCATAATTACTGTCCAGATCAGATGAGTTGCCTACCGTAACATCGAAATGACTTGACCTGAATACGGCCTTATATATAACAACGTATTTTAATTACTGTTAAACCTCGAAATAAAACTTAAATCGCTTTTGTGATTGTTTTCTACCCTTCAAACCAAAACGCATTACTGCTTCACGGCAGAAATAGGCAAGGCTCTGATACCTAACCTTGTGGGCTAACCAGACGTCCTACCACCAGTAATTGAGCAAATAAAAAATGTTTTTGCTAGTTGAATATTTATCACTCGATATTATTCCTTTATTGTGTAAAAAGTTCATGAACATGAGCTAAGTTATTGCATATTAATACGCTTTTATTAGCTTCGGACGTATGTATGTTAGTATGTAACGGAATCTTTGAACATGATTTTGAGCCCTTTCAAAAGGTCGGATAACTCGAAATTTGGTATACTTATTAAGGACCGAAAAAATTGAAAAACTTTCAAAAAAACCTACCAAAATACGCTTTTATAGAAAATCCAACTAAAAGATACAAAATAAATTTTAATAAATTTGAATCAAAAATAGTGTAAGAAAAAATTATTTTATTGCAAAAAAGCGCGGGGTGTTTTTCAGGATACTATCAAAATAACCTTTCTACTCAGATCTGTTCATTAAATATTTATAACTACTGATACCATGGACACCACGCTTTTTTTTACTTTAACTATTATTTTATTTTTTGACTAGAATAATAACTATAGCATGATTTGAACCCCAAGTCGCGTCATCACACCCAAAGCTACAAACCGTCTTAACATCGCGCCTTATATCTTTCAGCGGCCAACGAAGCCAACAAGAAACGAAAGCTCTCCAAAAGTCAAAAGCTGAAGATACAAGCGAAGCAGCGGACCGCCCTCGCTGTCAAAAAGAAGGCGGCCGCAGTCGCCGCCGCGGCGGCCGCCAAGATGACGACTTCTTAAAACAGAATCTTCATTTTAACGGAGGGCGCGTTTTGTGTACAATGACGTCATAGTTCAAGAGTGCGATGCAAACTCACGAACACCGTTGCGTTAAAGGGACAGAGCGTCTCTCTCGCATCTCGGCTATGCAATAACAAATATAGCCTTTATTTATAATGCCTTAAGTAACTTATTCTACAAAGTACCTACTAAAAAATTAAATCGCTAATAAACATATTAATTAATTATAAGATATACGACATCGTTTGTAAATAATTATAAGATACTAACCATTACTGTTACGTTAAGTTAAATTTTTGAATAAAATAACTGAAATATATATATGTGTTTCGTATTATTTTTTTAATACTGTTACGCGCTGGGTTCGGAATAAATAAAACTTCCAATGAAGCACAAATTAAAAGTCTATTTTTTAACACTTAGAACACCTTACAATTCGTAATTCACTTCTTCCGCTTCGCTTCAGGTGATTCGTTCGCTGTTTTGCTTCGAGTCGATCCGATTACTAACTGCCTTCATGTCATATCTACAACGCTTTTATAGTCGATACAATCTCTACAATTATCGAGAACATTCCTCACAAGTCGAGTATTTTCGATGTGTTTCCGCTATCTGACAATAGACGGCGTTGTACTTCTCGAGAATTTTAGATGTTGCTAGATTTTATATTTGGCTATTCGGCGATAGATGGCGTTACTCTTACCGGCGTAACGTGATCCCCTTCCTCCTCCTTGCGTCGTATTCCTCACTGCTGACGGTCGTGATCACCTATCGACATTAACTTCACACGCACGATTATTCTCCATCTATTCTTGTCTCAGGCAGTGTGGAGGGCGTTGTGAAATGTGGAATCAAAAGCGGTGCAGATCTGTGGGCTTAGTCCGAGTTTTTTAACGCTCTCGATAACGTAAAAGTTAACTCGTATGGAGTTGGAAAGTGCCTACGTTTGCCGCTAGAGGCGCTGTTCTAACTCTACACGAATTTGAGTTAACTTTTACGCTATCGAGAACGTTAAAAAACTCGCACTAAGCACACTGGTCGGACGAACGTATTGGAGTGCGCCCCTGAGGCGTTTTCCCATCCAATTTACTGGTCACGATGAGTCTCTGGAGATTGCTACCATCCTTCCTTGCAATGTGAACGAAGTATTCAAGGAATATTTTTTTATTGCATAGATGGATGGACGAGCTCACAGCCCACCTGGTGTTAAGTGGTTACCGGAGCCCATAGACATCTGCAACGTAAATTCGCCACCGACCTTGAGATATAAGTTCTAAGGGTCTCAGTATAGTTACAACGGCTGCCCCATCCTTCAAACCGAAACGCATTACTGCTTCACGGCAGAAATAGGCGGGGTCCTACCACCAGTAATTACGCAAATTACAATTTTGCGGGATTGATTATTATTACACAATATTATTCCTTCACCGTGGAAGCTAATCTTCAACATTTATTTGTTGAGTACGTATTTCAGTAGAAAAATTGGTACCCGCCTGCGGGATTCGAACACCGGTGCGTCGCTACATACGAATGCACCGGACGTCTTATCCTTTAGACCACGACGACTTCAAAAGTGCTATGATAGTTATCTTTTATTATATCCTCAAGTTCTTCTCCATTTTCTTTGTCCGAAATTCGACCTTAATGACATACACTTCAAAATTTAAATTCTTTTATACTAGGTTTTCTTAATCATGTTTTTTCTATTAACAACACTAAAACTAATTCTAAGCATCTTCTTCTTTTTCTGATTTTTTTCTATTCCATTCTCTTCTATCAGCCGTTATCTCAACACTAACTTCTCTCTCTCTCATATCGTCATTCACACACTCCATCCATGTCTTCTTCGGTCGACCTTTTCCCCTCTACTTCGCACTACCATTTCCATACATCTTCTAGTCACATGCATCTTCTCTCAATCACTCAATCTCAATCACCGGGGCTACTTTCACAGTTCCTCTGATATACTCATTCTTTATCTTGTCCATTCTTTTCACTCCACACATCCATCTCAATATTCGCATATCTGCCGCATGAACTCCTCATTCATGCTTTACTTTCGTTGCCCAAAATTCAGATTCATGACAGCACGACAGGTCTAATGATCCTTTTGTAAATTTTCGCATGCTGTTGCAGAGACCTGTCACCATTGCGCCATTTCTATTCTATTCTCGAGCTACGAGCAAAAAATAAACCTAAAACACTTCTAAACCAACCATTTTATCTTCTGAACGGAGTTTTTCTTGTTAGTCCAATCAGTAGAGCCACATTTTCATTGAGTCAATGTTCCGATTTCTCAAAAACTACGATGCCCAAAACAAGCCATGTAATAATAATTGAATTCTTTCAAAGATTACATAGGTGTACATACAAGCGATATAACAATTTTAAATTTTCGCGGTAAGATTATGCGCACAGGTAAGTAGTACCATTCAGCCTATTTCTTTTGCGAACAAATAATGCGTTTTCAAACCTTATTTAGAATGAATCATTGAAGAATGATAATGAGAATTGACATTTGCAGAATGGCACGACCATTATAGTATACAATTGAGACTGGGATCGCTTCGATCTTCACGACGAACAAAATTTAGGACCGTTACGTAAGTATCTAAAGGAAGCGTCAGAACGCTACTTCGACAAGATAACCCTCATCGTGGTCACTAATCTTTATATTAATACGTGAAGGAAAAACTTTGTACCCCTTTTTACGAAAATTGCGCGGACTGAGGAGTATAAAATTTCTCACACTTATAGAGAATATAGAGAAGGAGTGCAGAATGTTAATATTTTTTTAAATTATGCCTTAAAAAATACATTAAATCAATACAAAAAGCATTACACACATTACCATGTATTTGACGCACACACGCATGCATACTATTTATTTATTGTCAAACTTTTGTTCTTGACGTCTGTGGTCAAATTGAGAATAGATTAAATATTGTTTGTCTTTATTAATATTTTTCTATAGTGTAGTCTTGGCGAAATTTGTGATTAAAGAAGTATAAAATACAACCATAAAATACAACCATAAACCAAGAGTACAAACTTACAATTCCAATGAATTATAGTCGAATTTTGACTACTGCGGGATCACTAGTTACATATTTAAACGCCGTTAAAAACGGGATTTGACGTCTAAAGGTGGGTGGCGGCTTTTAAAATTTACTTTCTAACTCTTCGAAGCAAAAGGTAAAGTCGAAAAATAAGTGAGATTACTTCCTAGTATGGATGGTGGCAGGGTGAAGTAGATAGCTGATTACTTCTTATGAAACACTGAATGGACTCTTTGCAAGACTAGACCTGGTTGCTCATCAATAATAGTACTTAAAATGTTCAAAGCAAGTTTAAATTGCTCGTCTGACGTCTAAGTCAGGTTACGTTGACAGAAATATCACAACCTCAATGCTAAAATGCGATTTTTCTCTTAATAAATATAATAATTACTCGAAATGATATGTCATAGTCATAACAAAAGCGTCAAATCAAATATATACGTAAAATGGAACGTATTTTTACCATTCGTCAAATCGTTGAAAAGTGACGTTTGTAAATTCGAATGCCGAAAAGTAACAACGCAAAGCCGTATTTATTAATTTAGACTTTCTAGCAATTACATAAAGTTTTATTTTCTCTGTACTTGAAGTATGGAAATTCGAATGAGGGTTAGTAGGTAGGTACGACACCAAGTGAGTAGTAAGGAACCATTAAAGATGAACGAAATGACGAATGAAAGTTAAATCGATATCCAAGTAATTAAAATTACTCAATAAAAGTTGTATTTTAGTTACAACGTCAGAGAACTAAATATTTAGTACTGCTTATAAAATTTCTTAAACTTTTGAAACAATAAATTCAACAACAAAAGACAGTCCTGTTTAAGTAAAATACAGTATCTCCAGTCAAACAGCTTGTAATTTTTTTTTATTGCCCTTGTGAATTGTTAACAATATTAATTGATAAGAAGGTTTAAATGAAACTATCATTAAAATGTCTTAAAACAGATTATATACAGTGTCGTGAAACTAAAAATGAATTCAAAATTTTAATCATGAAATCGATAAAAAAATCGATTTTTGAATCGCACTCAAACTTATGTTTCCAACTCATCCCAAACACTATTTTCGTGAACTTGTTATTATTAAACGAGTGTACATAACCTTTTATTTCATGTTTCTTTTTAATTTTAATACGATTTTAATGAAAAAAACAAAAACGAAACAGCATTATTAAAACAAATTGAGGCAATTTAAACACATGTGCGACCATAATTAAAGCGAAAGGTACGTTTTTCATTCAAGAATATGATGTTTTCCAAACATAATTAGTGTTACTACGTACGCTACGTTTTTAGTGGCATGTGCAGTTATTTCATGAGATCGGCTTCTATTGTTTAGTTGTTAAATGTATTATAACGCCATTTTGATATCAGAAGTTGAATATGAATTTTATTTAATACGTTTTCTTTAAATAATCTATATTTTAATGTACATTAAAGAATTACGAAAGATTTTAATTTGAAAATAGAAACGGTGAGTTAATTTTCGTTTTGCTTTTTTTTATCGGCTCTCCTTGCAAAGGGTTTATTGTTTAGTTATAATTCGTAACAAACCCTATATTTGGGAACATAACGCCGTCATTTATTTTATTACCGGTTATTATTTTAAAATAATATGAATACGTACCGTAATGATGAATCATTCGTCTAATAATTAATTTTCTTGGAACCTAATTAAATTTGGTACTAGAATCCGATTGATCAGTTATTATAATAAATGACTCGAATTTTCTTTAAAAATCTAGATATTCAATTAACGAAACATTAAGCACAAAACAACCATTTAGAATATTATCTCTATTATATTGTCTTCATTGATTTTAGATGGGTTTTAATTAGAAAATAATCAAGAGATTGGATTGTATTTCTTTAAAAAAATTAATTTATTACTTTACAACCTTCTAATTACAGAGTATCCATATTTTTTTTTTTATATATCTGGATCAGGGGATCCTATATCATAATAGTATTGTTTGTTTATTTACCAATAATTAGGGCTTTCAACTTTCAATTTGTTTTCAATAAGGCAGCAGCTCTTTCTCTACACCACAGACTGATTACTTACCTTTTTTTTTATTGCTTAAATGGGTGGTTGAGCTCACATCCCATCTGGTGTTAAGGGGTTACTGGAGCCCATAGATATCTACAACATAAATGCGCCACCCACCTTGAGATATAAGTTCTAAGACCTCGAGTATAGTTACAACGGCTGCCCCACCATTCAAACCGAAACGCATTACTGCTTCACGGCAGAAATAGACAGGGTCGTGATACCTACCTGTGCGGACTCACAAGAGGTTCTACCACCAGTAAGATATATAAAGATTATATATTAGGTATACCAATGTATCAACAAAATGAGAAACCATTGATAGCCAAATTGCATAGACTATCGGTTGATAAATTGTTAACCTCAAAGGAGACAAGAATCTGTCTCTATCTAAGCCAATATGGTCATCTGACCCGAATTTAAGATTCCCTATGTTTTGGGTACCAGATAATAAACACACTTGTATAAGTTTAAATATATACATATATATAGATAATAAACACCCAGACGAAGAAAAAACGAAGTTTTTCATCACACATCGCTTGCCAGATGTAGGCAGGGTGTGACAAGGGCACTAACAATCTCCTGATTAAGCCAACAGAGAAGAGAAAGCTCATTATTATTAAATACTTTCCGCAGATGTTCTGCATCCAAGAGTCTGATCACAAAGATCCGTTCTCATCGGACCAAGATCCTCTGGAAGGCCCTTCGGAGTCCAGCGACGATGAACCGGCCTCCAAACGCCTGAAAACCTACGACTCTCCGTCGCTGAACCTCAAAGTGTATCAGATACCTGCCTACAATGCTTCAAAGTCACTATCGATATATCCAACGGCACCGCAGTTACCTATATTCGTCAATAACCCTTTGAATCTGGCCAACCCGTTGGCTCTGAACACAACGGTTCAGGTCGATAATGTAGTCAAGAATTTACATAGTCGGTAAGTTGCTACTGTTTTTATACTGGTTTTGGAAATTTTCCACATTGAACCGCCTCAAGCTGGCGTTAGGGCTTCTTATGAGTCCACACAGCTAAATACCAGCACTCACTATTTCTGCTGTGAAGCAGTAATTCGTTTTTTTTTTTTATTACTTATTTGTGTGAACGAGCTCACAGCCCACCTGATGTTAAGTGGTTACTGGAGCCCATAGACGTCTACAACGTAAATGCGCCACACACCTTGGAATATAAGTTCTAAGGTCTCAGTATAGTCACAACGGCTGCCCCACCATTCAAACCGTTTGAAGGCAGTGGCAACCATTGTACTGGGATACTTTTACGTTGTTATCCGGTAATCACTTAACACCGGGTAGGCCGCGTTCAGTGATTTAAGCAATAAAAAAAGCTATATTTTTCACATGCAGTATAGTTACAAGACAAATGTAAATACACCCAAACTCTAAAAAACTATGGTACAGTCATTATCAAAACAGCTTTAAGTGTCGCCATCCATATGGCTTCTTAATAACTGAAAGACACCAGAACCATCAGCAACACCTTATCTTCTTTGTTGTATCAGTCTTATCAGAGCGGTCATGGTCGTCATTCCGTATCATTGCTGTGGGCAGATGTTAGGCACCTCACGGGCAATCGCCACTTCCCCCGGTTTGTGATGGGTTTGGTACACTCATGCAAACAACTGCATGCAATGCATGCAAACAACTGCCCACTTGACTTGGTTGGCCCATCGCATGGGCAGCCTTCCACGCGGTCTGGTGCTTTCTACTTTGCCCTGAACGATAAGACGTCCTATGGAGTCATTCCTTTGCCGGGAGACATTTCCAAAAAATTATAGTATGCACCCATGCACAAAAAAAAAGTAGAAAAGTTCTTGAAATTAGTTTTACCAAGATACTGTCCCAACTGGGATCATGATCTACTATGTTGTACTAGTCAGGAGCGAATAATAGTCAAATTGTATTTTGCTTACATGTGCGGTGTATTTTTACAGATACTCCCTGCCTGCAAAATTGACCATCACACCGGTGCCTCAAAGCCCTAAATGTGAGAACGGTCAAATCGTGAGGTATAAGAAGAATGGGGAGGTAGCAAAGAAGAGGGGACCTCCGAAGGGTTACAAGAGGAAACCGAAGGTAGACCTCTCACAGAGCTTGAACAATGGGGCGCTACAGGTGAGCACATGTATTCTTTTAATTGAGTGTGGATTAGATGAGGGTACCCTAGAATCACATTTTCTTCAACTGCCCCAATATCCCTTCCCTTCTTTATGATTTTTTTTTATTTTTTTTATTACCTAGATTTGTGGACGAGCTCACAGCCCACCTGGTGTTAAGTGGTTACTGGAGCCCATAGACATCTACAACGTAAATGCGCCACCCACCTTAAGATATAAGTTCTAAGGTCTCAGTATAGTTACAACGGCTACCCCACTCTTCAAGCCGAAACGCATTACTGCTTCACTGCCGCATTACTGCTGCTGCTATTGACGGAGTCACGCGTCCATATTAACATACCGAGGACCCTCATTCCATATACACACGTACCAATGCTCTGCGCCATTTTGAAAAGGCGGCACGACATGAGAACCCTCTCATCGTGGCCGCTGGAAACTTCGTACCCGACCCAATAAACCGAATAATAAATCGTCGACGTCGCCCAAAGCACGTCATTACGGATCCTCCTGATCCATTAACGGTGCTTTTAAGCACCACAGGCACCGGTCACCGTCCTCGTCGAACCCGTCGCTTGCGATGAAGGGCTCGACGAGCGAATTAACCCTCAGACACAGCCCACTGAGTTTCTCGCCCGATCTTCTTCTTCTGCGAAGCACTGCTCTTGCTAGGGTCAGTGTTAGCAACTCTCCGGTTTGAGCCCCGTGAGCTCACCTACAAACGTTAGGGTGAAGCTGAAATAGCCTCTCAAGGCTATCAGCATAGGTAGGAGAAATAAAAAAAACAATGTTCTCAGACCAATATTACTGAAAGAGCACCTTGAAGGGTTAACTGTCATTCATTGTCTCTGTCATTGTCATTGAGAGGCGTGCACGCGGCAGAGATGCGAATGTTGAGATGGATGTGTGGAGTCACAAGAATGGACAGGACAATGAGTATGAGAGGAAGTCTGAAAGTAGCCCCGGTAATTAAAAATTAAAGAGCGGACGGTTAGCGTTGGTATGGACATGTGATGCGTAGAGAGGAGATGCATGTGACTAGGCGATGTATGGAAATTGTAGTGCAAGGTAGAGGGAGAAGATGTCGATCAAAGAAGACATGGATGGAGTGTGTGAATGACGATATGAGAGAGAGAGGAGTGAGTGTTGAGATGACGGCTGATAGAAGAGAATGGAAGAGAAAAATTAGCTGTGCCGACCCCACCTAGTCGGATAAGGTGGAGACGAAGAAGAAAAGATTCATTGTCTTTAAAAATAAGGTTCGCATTAGTTAGGGGCCATGTTTGGGGCGGGGGAGGGGGGAACAATTCGTTCTATTCCCACATTAGCCATACATTTTGGTGATGAACATGTTTGTTTGCTCTTATGTCTGGGTGTTTATTATCTATATATGTGTTATGTATATATTTAAGTGTATAAAAACTCTTCGGCAGTAACGCGAGGAGTGAAGTTGTGTGATTTGTTTTATTTTATCTATTTAGTGTTTCTTCAGGTTTAAATGTGTAATAACGGTGGTTTATTAACTGTTTAGTATCTGTGAATGTGCACAAATGTGGGAAAATGAAACAAAGCCGCTGAACGTAGCTTCTCGGGATCCTCCAAAAAGTCCACTGGAAAAATCTCAGTAAATGACCACCATTTTACTGAGATTATATTTCATCCCATATCATCTCATCTCATTTCATTGCATTCATAATTTCATTTTTCATATAAAAAAATTGTCATTCAAATTAAAATAGGACTTGCCCCAAGGGTCTTAGTTACCAGGTCATGAAATTCCTTAAAAAAGTGTATACAAGAATGTATGTATGTCAATCTTTCTCATGGTATAGGGGATCCTAGTGTATGGAGGGCATGTGACAGTGTATGGAACAAGAAGTCACTTACTATTTATTTATTGTGTAAAATTTATATAAACATAGAACCAAATGTTGCCGTTATATAGAAAAAAATTTAGAAAAGTTTTATATTGAAAGTAAGGGTAGAGGTAAAGAGAACCGTCTCTGTGTGTGAAAAAATGTCCGTTAAAATCTGCCAAATAAGGGCGGCGCTACAGTAGCAACCGGATAAATTAAAAAAAAAGTGCTGTAAGTTATTAGAATAAGAGAGAAATGAAAAAGGACGAAAGAAATGTAAGCACTACAAAATCACAAAAGTATTTTATTTAAAGCCGATAAGAAAATGCAATCGATGTCTCTACGTTTTACCACAGCAATAATTTTAGGTTATATTGACGAAATTAGTTTGGACTACGTAAACATGTGAGGTCTTGTATATTACACTGTCACTAACTACTCTAGTCATGAAATATATTAAATTTCCTAACTCGGCATACTTCAATCAGTTAACAACTGCTCAATTCATATCATAACCTGTGCCTATGCTAGCGTCATTCTGGGGGATTTTTGAACTGTTATTTAGTGCTGAAAATGGGACACTTATTCAAGCTTCTCCCATATGAGACGGTTCTCCTTACCTCTACCCTCCATAATTGAAAGTAAATCTTGCCGATGAATGTAATGTCTTATGAACAATATTTGTACGGGTCCCACTCACCATCAGGTGGCCGTTATGCTCATTAGCTTAGTCTTCCTTGACCAGCCTCCTTGTTGGCTTACAGTGGCATTAAAAAAATCTATTTCTTATTTCAGGCTCAAAATGTGATATTGACAAGTTTATTGGCAGCCAACAATACGACGTTAAGTTTGTCGCTTCCGCCTCCGCCTGTGGAGGAGCCCGTCAGAGTCGTCTCGGAGCCGGTCAAGGTACCTGAAGGTTGGTGGATTTGGAATCGTTCAGTCAACTCCTGAGTCTGATAAGTACAATTGACTTACTCTGGGTTCTTGGTACTAGATTACTGGTGGTAGGATCACTTATGAGTCCGCGCGTGTAGGTACCACCGCCCTGCCTATTTCTGCCGTGAAGCAGTAATGCGTTTCGGTTTGAAGGGCGGGGCAGCCGTTGTAACTATACTGAGATCTTAGAACTTGTATCTCGAGGTGGGTGGCGCGTCTACGTTGCAGATGTCTATGGGCTCCAGTAACCACTAACACCAGGTGGGCTGTGAGCTAAACGCTAAAAATATTTTTTTTTATACCTCAGGAGTCGAACTGGTGGAACTACTCCTGGACCCTCAAGACTGGTTTCCGGACGAGCCCTACAAGATGGTGTTCAGCAGGAAAAAGAACCCTAAATGGAAGAACTTTCCTTACATATGCGAGTTTTGTTTTAAGGTAAACGATGAGACCCAAGTTTGCTGTCTTTTTTTTTAACAAATTTTCTGGCCTGGTAACTAATACCTTTAGGTCAAGTGTTATTTTAATTTAAATTCTATTTTTTATGAAAAATGATAATATGGGGTGAAATGAGATGAGATGATATGGGATGAAATATAATCTCAGTAAAATGGTGGTTATTTACTGTGGACTTTTTGGAGGATTAACTCCACCCCGCAGCGTTAACCGCGTTACGACAATAACCGCGGCTAACATCGCGGGGTTCAACTACTTTTATAAAAAAAATTCACGTTTGTTTATTTTGTGTGCTTGTTAATATACTTCCGGTCTATATACTTTACTAATTCGGCGAATCTAGAATAACCCTTCGAAGTTACTAGAATAGATAGGAAAAAAATATGTAATATTAAGATGATCAAATACCAAAAAAAGTATGAATATTAAAACTGATGCTGCTTTTTCCGCATTTTTTTTATTGCTTAGATGGGTAGACGAGCTCACAGCCCACCTTATGTTAAGTGGTTACTGGAGTCCATAGACAACTACAACGTACGATTACGCTGAAATAGCCTCTCAAGGCACTCAGCTAAGGTAGGAAAAAAAAAAGAAAAAAGATGACCCGTCGGTCGGACCCCCAAGGGGACCTACCACCTACTCTGACCCTCCTGACCCCCGAGTGAAGATGCGAGTGGTGAAGTCGTCCGTGCCTCGATGACCCCCAAGAGGACCCCCCCGACCCCCGGTGGTCATCTCGCGCGTCTGTCCGCAGGGGTACCGCGTGGCGTCGACCCTGGTGTCGCACTGCGGCTCGCGGCACGGCGCCTGCCCGCGCGCGCTGTGCGTGCCGTGCCCGTGCTGCCCGCACGTGTCCCTCCGCCGGAAGCAGCACAAGAAGCATCTGGAGACGCACCACGGGAGGAAGCACAGGATATTCTGCGTGTACTGCCTCCCGCCAGGTCAGTACCGAAACTGGTTTTCTAGACGAGTATACGACCCACCTAATGGTGAAAGGTTACCGACATCAGCAAACGATTCCACAGAATGTGTTGACAGCTCTTAAAATGTTGATGAAAAATAGGGAAAAAAATTGTTTTTACTCCAACGCTATTTATGTATACTGTAACTATACTGAGACTTAGAACTTGAACTCAAGGTGGGTGGCGTATTTATGCTGTAGATGTCTATGGGCTCCAGTAACCACTTTAACACCAGCTGGACTATGAGTTCGTCCACCCATGTAAACAGTAAAAAAATATTTCTCTCTCTCTCTCATTGTATCTTCTTTCTCTCTCTCACACACAGCGGATCCCGGCGAGCCTCACGTCAAGGAGAACACGAAGTATCCATTCGACACCCACCCTCAATACTGGTACGCCTCCGAGGAGTCGTTGAGGCTGCACAAGAAGCGGAAACATCCGTACGCGGCGATGTTCAACTACAACTGGTACTGCACGTGGGGCGAGAACGCGCCGAACAGCTAATAGGAAGGACAGCTTTAATTGCACTGGCAACATTGTGATGTACGGTAGGATTTTTAGTTTTTAAGCTGGCAACATTTTAGTGGAATTTCTCGAGGCTGGCAATTTTTTTGTTTTTTTTTTGTAAGGCCTATCAGTATTGCTCGCTGAAGTCTATTGAGGCTTGTAAACGTTGTTAAGAAGATACAGTGTTTGTCAAAGTTAAGTATAAATTGACACGACCGGCAACATTATAATATGTATTATTAAAACATGACCAATGCTGCCAACACAAAAAAATAATTAGGCCAGTAAGTTTTTTTTTTTTTTTAATTTAAAGTAACAAATCAAATTAGTATTATTTTATTTTAGAGACGCATCATTTTATACGTTTTTTTTTTGTACATAAAATATACTTGTGAATTATTATTTTTTATTAAATCAATGGCATCTGAATTTTGTAATGAAATCAAAGAATAAACCTGTCTCGTTAGAGAGAGTTTTGATAATTAATTATATGAATTAAAGCATGTTTTAAAATTATGAATAATTTAAATAATAATATTATAATTTCATTCACAATTGAATCGCGTATTAACGAATTTGTAGTTTTTTTTTTATTACGTGACGTGTGTCAAAATTGACAGATGTCAATTTGTGGCGGGAAAATGAAAATGCAGAATCAAAATATATTACGGGCCGGTCTACACTTGTTAAGTTAAGATTTTAGTATTAAATTTCTTAGGTGATTTTATAGATTATTTTTTGTTTAGAAACTAGGAAATTCATTTTTAGTAAGATATAATAATAACGAAAATGAATTATTTAGCTTATTAAATATTAGTGACCTTGTGGTATACTAAGAACCCCCACCTATTTTTATCAAGAAGCGTCAGTGCCTTATTGTCTGTAAGGTGAAATGGCTGGATCGCATTGGAACTTTCAACCTGATAGTTCAAGGCGATCCGCGTGATGTCCATGCTCTCCAGCAAATATTCTCCGAGATATTCGCGGCTCGCATCGATTTTTTATATTTTCAACATATCGCGACGGCTATTTGGTTTAAACGACCTTTTGTGTATTTTTGAAACTTTATAGGAGAGCCATTTAAAGTTTGAAATTAGGAAAAAATATCATAAGAAAAAAACTTCATCAACTATTTGAATGGAGTAAACTTAATTGAAGTTCAATTAAAAACATCGAATTGTTGATTTTTTTTATTGCTTAGATGTGTGGACGAGCTCACAGCCCACCTGGTGTTAAGTGGTTACTGGAGCCCATAGACATCTATAACGTAAATGCGTCACCCACCTTGAGATATAAGTTCTAAGGTCTCAAGTATAGTTACAACGGCTGCCCCACCCTTCAAATAGAAACGCATTACTGCTTCACGGCAGAAATAGGCACTTCAAATAAACACGTGTAGACCAGCCCTTAAGGAACTTAAATTCTAAACATCATTTCTGAAGGGTGTAAAAAATTGAAAGAAAACAAACAATTGATTCTGTAATCGTACGCGTGTGTTATAATGATTTATTTATTATTATAATAATTGTATGGAGGGTAGATGTAAAGAGCGCCATCTTGTATATAGGGGACAAATTGAAGAAGTGTCCGTATTGTTACGCGCTGGGGTTCGGGATAAATAAAATTTCACCAAAGTACAACTTAAAAACTGTATTCAACACTTAGAACACTTCACAAACACTTTAAAACTCTCAATTCACTTGTTCCGCTTCGCTTCAGGTGATCCGTTCGCTGTTTCGCTTCGAGTAGTTCCAATTACTGACTTACTGCGTGCCATCACTACAATAGTCGATACCTCATTCCTAGAATTATCGAGAATATTCCACGCATCTCTAGTAGTAGTTTCCGCTATCTGTCAATAGATGGCGTTGTAATTCTCGAGCATTCTGGATCCTTCGATATTCGTTCGACTATTCGGCAATAGATGGCGTTACTCTTACCGGCTTAACAGTGTGTTAACAGCTAGTTGTTGTTGGAAGACTCACCGACATAGCGCTAGTGTAGTAAGTGGAAATGATATGAATATAGCAGTTTTAAATAGAGTGAAGCGTGCTGGATTAAGAAATTAAATATTTTTCGTGACTCGTGTAGTTGAAAAATAAGCGATACTTAAAATATCAACTATTTATTTTTACTAGTGGTCGCACAGTAGGCGAAATTCGACCATAATTAATTGAAATTATAAGTTTGAAAATTATTATGGTTCTACTGTCAAAGACTATTATTATACTTCTATAATCACAGATTTCGTCAAGACTACACTATAGACAAATATTAATAAAGACAAACAATATTAATCTATTCTCAATTGGACCGCAGACTTTAAACAATAAACAAAAGAGTATATATGCGTGTGTGTAATGTTTTTTTTATTGATTTAATGTATTTTTTATGCATTATTTAAAAAACTATTAGCATATTGCACTCCTTCTCTATATTCTCTATAAGTGTGAGAAATTTCATACTCCTCCGTCCGCGCAATTTTCGTAAAAAGGGATGCAAAGTTTTTGCTTCACGTATTAATATTATATAGATTACTATTTACATAGGAAGTGTTTCTTTCCTTATTAATTAAATATCCTACTCTAATAGTTTATAGCGCTGTATTTAAAATCTCTCCACTTGCTACCGTGGCGCCATCTTCATTGGTCATGTCAGCGGACACTTTTAAATACACTTAGATGGTGCTTCTTATATCTACCCTCCATTTTTTCTGACAGTCTTTGGTACTGACGCGTTGGATTCACGCGCAGTCGGATGTGACGTATCAATAATGAAATTATATTTTATAAATGTTTTAATAATGAAAAAAATGTGCCTTTAAAATCGAATTCGGCACGAATTAATGTAATGCGCAATTTACAACCGACGACACGATTTATCGTTACGGGTACAGCGATGTGAATTTGGGATGCGACGATTTATCGTGTCGCTCGTTGTAATAGAGATGATTTTTAATGATAGCGTTTCGTGTTAAGGTTTTTTTTTGTTTATTTTTTTTTTAACGATACCAAGGATTATTGTTCTTAGGACATTTCAATGTTTTTAATTGCAAGTTTTTATTTATATGGACCGTCTACACGATCGTATGGTTTGTCAATGTTGTACAAGTTCGCAGAGGACTGTGGTCAGCATTTGAAAGGAGGTAGATCCACCCATAGAGACAGCGCACTGAGTTTCTCGTCGGATCTTCACAGTAGGTCGCGATTCCGATCCGGTGGTAGATTCAGCCAAGCACTGCTCTTGCTAGGGCCAGTGTTAGCAAACTCTCTTAGGTTGAGCCCGTGAGCTCACCTACCCGTCCGCGCGAAACTGGAATAGCCTTTTACTGGTGGTAGGACCTCTTGAGAGTCCGCGCGGGTAGGTGCCACCGCCCTGCTTATTTCTGCCGTGAAGCAGTAATGCGTTTCGGTTTGAAGGGCGGGGCAGCCGTTGTAACTTTACCTGAGACCCAGGAACTTATGTCTCAAGGTGGGTGGCGCATTTACGTTGTAGATGTCTGTGGGCTCCAATAACCACTTAATACCAGATGGGCTGTGAGCTCGTCCATCCATCAAAGCAACAAAAAAAATGCCCTGAAGCTACCAGCGAATAGATAGGGGGGGAAAGCTAGATCCTAGACGTTCTTACAGACATCGCTTAGTGGCATCGGAATCGTAATGGGATCGGATCCAAATCGGGTCGAATGTAAAAAAAAGGCTTTTTTCGACTCAAGCGTCACGTCATTTGACACGCGAAATTTATCTTTGTAATTAAAGGTCCGTTTCATTTGGTATCAGCATCGACAGTCCGATGTTTTTAATTGAACTTCAATTTTATTAATCCATTCAACTAGGTGAAGTTTTTTTTTCTTATGATATTTTTTTGCAAATTTTAATCTTTAAATGGCTCTCCTGTAGTGTTGCAAAAATGTCGCTTAATGATTCACCCCTCGATATGTTTTATCAGAATTGACTGACATTGTTAATTGACATTGACAACGTTGCGATTGCGCTTATAGATACGGACTGAGTTTTTTTTTTTTAACTTTCACAGTATTTTCTATCTTCACTCTGCACTAATAATCGCTGTTAAGAATCATAATCAGAAAGAGAGTGTAAATATTTTTGTATGTCACATTAAAAATTGCATTTAATAGTGTTTAGTGACGGGTAAAATGTGTATTCAGTGAAACGCTTATGATCGGGTGAGACGTACACTCAATGCTAGTTGTTGGCTATTATAAAAAGATATTAGCTTCAGTATATAAGTAGTGAATGCTTCTCGCATCTATTTACATATAAAAATTTACACTGAAAAATAATTAAATATAATATAGTGTGAAGAAGTATGTAACTTGATCCAAAAAAAAAAAAAATTTTTTTATTGCGTATATATGTGGACAAGCTCACAGCCCACCTGGTGTTGAGTAGTTACCGGAGCCCATAGACATCTATAACGTAAATGCCGCCACCCAGACACGAGTTCTAAGGTCTCAGTATAGTTACAACGGCTGCCCCACCCTTCAAACCGAAACGCGTTACTGCTTCACGGCCGAAATAGGCAGGGTGTTGGTACCTACCCGTGCAGACTCACAAGACGCCCTACCACCAGTAATATTGTAATTACCACCATGTCCATAGCGTATGTACTATATATAACTCATTGTAACTATACTGAGATCTAAGAACTCATATCTCAAGGTGGGTGGGTGGCGGCACTGGCGTTGTAGATGTCTATGGGCTCCGGTAACCACTTAACAGCAGGTGGGCTGTGAGCTCGTCCACCCATCTAAGCAATAAAAAATAAGACCAGAACATATTATACTTGGTATAAACGGATGACCAAAACAACCAGTATTAATATATATTGTTATATAGATAAGTCTTAAAATTAATTAGAATCTGTAATTATTAATAACAATGTTTGATGCGTTGTTCGAAATACGACCGTAATGATTGGTATCTTAAGGCTTAGGATTCCGTGTTTTTTTTTTTTTAATAGCAAACATGGCACGCTTTTTTTGGCGGTAACATCGAATCGTATGACGCTATCGCATGTCGGCATGCCTTATCCGGCGGTCGCCCATGGACCACAGCTAATGCCAGAGGGGCACGCCCAAAACTCTGACTCTACTGTTATTTCGTTTGAAAGGATGTGTGATATTGTACCTGAAAGAGCGTGTAGGGTAGTTGAAAACGCTGAGGTGCGAGTGAGATAGCTATATTATACTACGCGGAATAAGTAGTATCATATCGACAGATGAAAGAGTATTTGGTTTAAGTGACATTTTGCTTAACACGCGATA